GGTGTCTTACTTGTTTTATTTGTTACCACTTTTATACCATCATTCCATTGAAATCGCTTCACGGTAAACATTTCTCTTTATTCCATTTGGAACACTTCAATTGTGAGGTATATGCTTCTGTTTCTCTGAAAATGATCTCTTTTAAAAGTACCTAAAATTCATGGTTGTTAGTAACATTGAATTTAATGTCAATAATAATAGTGCTTCAAGGATCTCTATCGACGATAAGACGGAAATATGTAGATACATATGTAGATACATTACATGATTGGTATATCTCAGTGATATTCAAGATTTACATACACGTTATGTATTTCCTCCTCCAACTTCGCTGTGAAGGAAACCAATAATCTGAAGTCCCACAAACGGAACAAAACTTACCTATGAAACCGCGATCCGATTGTAGATTTGCAATGAGTCCATTGTAATGATTGTGTAGAAGGTATACCCGTCCCTCCATTTACGCGGAGTATCCGTTCGACGTGGATTCGTTATGCGCGAATGAAAATCGCGTAAATAGCGTCTACCTGTACAAAGGAAAAGGAAATATTGGGAAAAAGTTGGTATAAGTTTTAAAAACACATATTTATTTCACAGAGCTTAACACGTTGACCACCATGAGAATTTAGAGCACCGTACAAAATTTTTGTATAATATTAGTTATTCTTTTATAACAAAGGGAAAAGGTATGAAAATTAATTATTACTGATTTGCTCTCATAGATCTTAAGTTACACTGTTGTTTAGTTACTTGTGCGAGTAAATATTTCGATTCGACATCAGTTTTCTTCTTGTGATTGTTTTGAAATAGAAATTTCACCGCCGACGCGGTCAACGTGTTAACAAAAAGATAAAAATACTGACGTTTCACGTAACAGATGTACATTTTATTCGATATCGCTAAATTCAAATCGCGTAAAGACATTGCCGCGCAAATGGAGAGACGAGTGTACCGGTGCAGATGAAAATATTATAGTTGTGCACCCCTGCATTAAACGATTGTCGCCAGTTCGTCGCTCTGTTCTCTTCGATCTCCTTTGAAATGCTTTTCGGTCTCTCGCGTAGGATTTAAGCAACGGTTTTTCGGTTTGATGACTGTCGCCAACGGGAGCGTGGTCTGTAATCGGCAGGAAATATTACTTTCATGGAAAATAGTCTACGTTTTTAATTTAACCCTTTGAATGCGGCGTGCTCGTGAACAAAAAGCATCAGACCATCGCGCTGAGACGCGTTGTCGCTCGTATTCTCAAAAATTGAATTGTATTTTTGGAAAAAGATATGTTAGGACAACGATGCAATTAATTATCACGTAACGTGTAAAAATATGCACGTTACGATAGATATGGAAACCTTGCAGTAATCATCTAAATTGATTATATTATCTGTACGTTCAAAAATAGTAATATGATTAAGGACGTTCCGTGTATTTCCTGTTAATGTTACGTTTATTTGATTAATTAACCCTCAAGCATTAAATTTCATAAAGTGGAAGATAATTGAGCATATATCTACTTACAAGGCCAACATTCTTCTTTGTCGTCACATTAAAGTAGACGCCTAATTAGTTGACTGCTTGGTGCCACTTCCCCAACTGTGAGTGACGTCATAAATTACTTCCCCTCTTGCGGTGTAGCTACGGCCATCGGAATTCTTCGAATGTATAGGGTGATTCCAAAGTGGTGTTATAAAATTTATTGACTTTTCGTTAATACGGAGTTCTTAGCAAACATTGATCCTGAAACAATTTATTTCTTAAATTATTTTAGTAAGATACTGTTGTAAGCTAGAAATATAATACTTACGTATTAGAAATATAATACTTACATTTAAGAACTTTAAATCAGTTTTATTACTTGTCTTTAATTGATTAATTACAGAATGAAGAACGATTACATTTAAAATCAAATGAAACAAAATATAATTTTAGATATTAATCATTTTATAAGGCTTGACATCACTTTTTGTTAATTTAATGCACCCTTGTATCTTATGAACCTGTATCATGAAATGAAAAAATTGTGTAAATAATGAAAGGAATACTAAAAATATTTAATATTCATACTTTCCTATAAACAAGTGAAATAGGTTAAAGATCACTATGTAGCAAACTACATGAAAATTACTGAAAATATTACGATCAGAAGCATTCAAGTGTTAAACACACAATTAATTGATATAATATTACCGTTTACTATGAAGTAATGTTTTTAGATAACGATATCTATGTTCCATAAGAATTTTTATTTAAATTAATATCATAAACCAATTATATTATAAATAGGAAGAATAAAATATTATTAAATATAATATAAACTTATATAATATTAAACAAAAATTAAATAATAAAAAATTATAAAATATTAAACTTAAACAATCTTATCCCGTATAGAGTACTGAATTTAAGCCAATAAAAGCATATGACACGAATGTAACTCCTATTTGTTTGTTTAATTAACAATATCTTTTTCTTCATTTGTATCTCACATTCAATATTTATTTTCTTATTCGAATAGATTCTCTGCTTGCAAACAAACCACACGGTATCTTCAGTAACCATGACACATTTTCCCATTTTCATCTCCAGCAATAGCAAAGTGAACATAAAAACAACGTACCGAAAGAATTCCCGATCTAGTGAGTGTCTCCTTTAGAAAAACCCTTAGCCTTATACCTCTGTTTCTTTTTTTACTCATTTTAAGACAAACAATAAGGTCGAGCGGAGGCGAAGAAAAGCAGAGCGCAAAGGTGGGAGATAGTATGATGGAATTTACCTCTCAGAGTCCTTGACCGGCCAACTAATTTGGTACCTACTTTACCAAGTAGTTGCACACGACCAGCTAGTCTGATAAAAACAAATACTGCATAGCAGTGTTTCTCATTTTCCTCTTAATCTTAACGATCCGGCAGACATCTTAAATGAAATTGGTTAAACCTTACTCGAAAGAATAAATGATATGCAATGCAACGAAGTTAAAAACAATTTTATTTAAATTTTGCCTTATATCTTCATATCTAGTAAATTCATGTGGACGTCCTGCTGGTAATAAGATCAATAAAAATAATTTTAGAAAAACGTTCAATTCTAACTATAATGTGTAATACAATGAAATGAAAAATAATTTTATTCAAATTTTGCGTTATATCTTTATCTCTAATATATTAATGTAGGCTTCCTGCTGGTAATAAGATCAATGAAACTAATATTTGAAAAGTTATCGGTTTTAACTGTAGTAATATTGTATTTGAAATGTAACTTTAAACATGGTGTTTTAAGTAACATTTGAAAAATGTTTAATTATAATTGTAACGGCACTTAAAGTATGATTTTAAATGTCGCATTTAAATGAATAAATGAATAATTTCTGTTTGAATACGTAAACAATTTATTTATCTTTTCTTATGGATAATTGCGCAACGATTCGAAGTTCCATACATCGAGTGATTCTCGAAAATCAAGAAAATTACAAATTTGTAATTTTCGAAGAAATATTGTAGACATAAATACTTTGTCTTTTAATACTATGTTGGCAAAAGCTAAATGCATCAATGAATATATCGATCCCATTAATGTAAAGATTTATTTTTAAATGACTATTATTATTTCTTGCTATGATTAACCATAACTAACGATAAATATATTTTTACAAAGTACAAGAAGTGCTTTAGTATGTTGTAACAGCTACGTTTGGAAATAAGATGATACACCAGAGTACCAAATTATTTTTAATACTAAAATTCGACAGACGAACATTAAAGGAAATAAATCGAATTTATAATACAATACACTAACACAAAGACATACTACATAAATCCACATAGAGAACCACCGTAGTGAAATGTATAGGCAAGATTTTTCTGAGGAAACGAATTTTACGTATATTTTTCATTTTTTCCCTTAAAACGAGAGTTCGTAGACAAAAAATTGTTTATTTTAATTGTACGTCAACTTCATTGAAGATTAATATTGAAAATCGTTTGTGTGAATAATATATTAAAAATTCGTGGTTTTCTAATATTATTGTTAAATGTTAAATGTTTCAAATGTAACGTTAAAGTGAATCCGCTTCATTATGCAATAATTATTACTATATACATTTTCTTCTATTTCGCAAGGGAAGAAATATTTATGAGATGCTTTATCATATATCTCAAGCTAAAACTCCTCTGTTTAAAGTGGGCTACGATTATCATTATCTCATAAAACATAGTCAAGTCCTCTTAACCCTCTTAGCCCTTCAAAGAAGCTCAATCAGTTCCTTAGTGTAATATTCTCTTCAGTCTTCTACATAGAGCTTAATTAATTCACGACCTCTTCTTCTATTAATATACAATAATATTCTTTATCATATACGCAATCTCTAAATCTTTACCCCTGTACCATAAGAATACAATTAGCTTCAATAAAATCGAAATCAAAGCCGACAATCGAAAGACAGTGTAATAATTGCTTAATCATTTTCTTGTTAATCACCATATTTTAATACATTAATATCTTAACATATTAAACAACGTAATATAAAACGTTCTTCCTTTGTCAGGATCATCATATTAGTTACTTTCCTTAAAAAATCGCAAATACTTACAGCATAAATAAAAATATCATTAAATTTTAAACATTGCACAAGGTGTTTTTACAATCAGTTACTACACTCAGACATAGAGTAAATCTACATGAAAAAGTGAATCGAAAGTACAGAATAAAATTTTCCTATAGAAGACTTCATCTCCGAGATAAACGGTTTATATCGGAATAAGTGGAAATAGTAAGTCATGATCAGACAGTTCAGGCGATTCCTACTGCGTACACGCGTCGATTTCAAAGGTGATTATCTTGAAAGTAAATTACCATAAATAATGTTATTTTGCGTTTCTCATTCAATTTTTCATATAGAATAATTTTATTCCCGATAACATCACGATTTTGGAAACACCTTGTGCAACATGCTCTATCAATCCGTCAATTAAATACTATTTTACCCATTAATTTTCATGTATTCATAGGCTGTTCGAGGAAAACGAAGAATTGTTAAATATGTTCACACAATTTCGCGAATTGAAGACGAAAGAACAACAAACCAATAGCATGGAATTGGCGGAGCACGCAGGGAAAGTTATGTCTGCCATCGAAGACGGTATCAAAGCCCTTGACGATATGGACGCCTTCTTGACCTGTCTTCACCAAGTCGGAGCCACGCACACAAAGATTCCTGGCTTCGATCCACAATATTTTTGGGTGAGTATCTGGAAAAGTATCTTCGCCTTTATGTTGACAAAACGGTGAAACAATTTACCGTATCGTTTGTGATGAAAACGAATTCTATTAAATTAATTGGGAGTCCAGGTAAAAAGAATTTTCGAAAAATGTCACGCACAAGTTTAATTTGTTGATGTAATCTGTACATACTTCAGATCAACACTATATCATCTTCCATTGGAGTAATTAATTTAGAATATAAATTTAATGAAACGTAAACAATTTCTTAATAGAAAAATGTCGACAATATCTCACCTCTTTTGACGCAAATATTATTTTATATAGATTCGAAGCGTTAAAGATATTTTATTAAAAGTATTGAAGATTAATTAATAGCTACTATACTAACCATACATGAAGTAATATGCTGCGTTTTCTAAGTTATACACTTACATATTAGATGTATTTCAATTTTTAAACTATGTACAATCTGTTGATATTCTTTCAAAGCAGAGGAAGATGTACGAAAATTATAATTTCTTGGAACTCGTACCTTCTGATTTAACAATAAAGAATTTATTTATACAAAGAATGTAACAAAATGCTTATTCTGTACTGATCAAGAGCTTTTGAGATAGGCAATTAATTACTATTATTACGTTCCATTAGCAACAACACAGTACCAAATATCATCACAAATGTTTAGACTACTTTTTATATATAATAAATCTATATCGAAAACAATAAGATAACGAAACTTAGATAAGTAATGCAATGGATTCTATGAAATAGGATTACAAGTACAATAGATCAGTTTAGGCATAGAAATCTCCAATGTTATTAAAATCGATGATTAGCGTTTCGAGTATTTATAGCATAAAAATGAAAACACATGGGTTCGCTAATAGGCACGCGAATATTCCATTAAATCGCTTGAGTGTTGTGAGGTTCATGTTTGGCCGATCGTGAGACGCGTTTATCCGGAGTGTAACCCGCAAATGAACCCCTTAACTGCGGAGGCCGTCTATCGTTTTCACGATTGACTGACACTTCAAAACTCTTCGTGATCGAGAACCGAGGAACAATGTAAGGGCGCAAAATAAGTGACATACCGACAGAAATTTGAACTTTTACATCCTTCGATACATTTTCACGTAAAGCTTTTCAATGGGTCGCTCTTGTCCTCCTGATAAAAATAAACTCAAACACGACGTCGATCTGAGTATTTTTAATTAAACATGACTGAAATTACTGTTAACCCTTTGCACTCCAAAGGCGCCTCTCAGTCATCAATTGATTTGTCACAGCAAAATCGTAAAGTTTGAATTTTAATATGAAACTTTGTGTAATGCATCAATATGTGAAATATTGAAATAAAATAGTTTTGGTCCTCAATTTATGTGTGATTTCTCAAGTTAGTTTCAGAAAATGTCGTTTGTATCTTTAGAAAATGTTGAGTATTTCCAGGGAAACACTTCTGCAGTACGAAGGATTAATAGTAACACATTACGCATATTTATTAATTATAATAAACAATTTGTATCGAGAATCAGAGATATAGAGAGATTGAAAATAGTTATGTCAGTTTCGATTCTTGAAACAGTCATCGATATTATATCGATTCTGAAACGGTTTTATAACTGTTATTTTTCGGTTCTTCATTTCGAAGAATGTATCTCCATAACTGTTTCAGTCAAAATTGATATATAACAATTTCAAGCAGTTATTTTCGAAATCTTTTCAATCCCTGAACATATGTCAAAGCTACAACACCACCTACGCAGGGACACTTTCCAAAAGTCGTCACGAACTTAATTCTCTTTCCAGAAAATAGAGAAGCCGTTCCTAGAGGCCGTGGAGCGAACGTTGGAGGACCGATACTCCGAGAACGTGGAGAGCATCTACAAACTAACAATCAAATTCATTATCGAAACACTGATAGAGGGCTTCAACAAGGCAAAAAAGGACAAAGCACAAATCGACAGCAGTAAATCCGAGTCGTCTGTGTCATGAGGAGCCGCAAAAACTTTATTGTTCGGACAAGACAGTTCCTGATCGGTCCAGCCTTTCAGGACTCCGTTCCCGATAGACGGGATCGGTCCTACCGACAAGAACGACTCGACCATTCGATCGCGCGATCGTTCGTTCATTAAAAAGTCTCTTCGTTTCTACATGGCGTGCAATGTAAGCTGCGTGAACGGACATTTGACAGGTCGCAAGACGAAAGACGAATTATAATAATACATAATGTATTCGTGTCGAATAACGTTCTTTTTTACAAAAGCGCGGAACGACGCTTCGTCGGTGGTTTAGATTTGAAATCTTTTTCCTTCGAGCGGGTCTCGGTTATGGGAAATTATACAGGAAAAAGTGACTATGATTGCTGTATCACACACTTGACCGTTTCGCCCCGCGCCGGGCGGCGAAGCGGATCGTGAGCTCTGTTGACGGTCAAAGACGACAAATAGTGCGGCGTCGCTACGATTACAGTATTCCTTCGAAAAATCTCTAATAATTCCGTCCGAATCTCCGGTCGACGATTTCGGGGGCGGTGAGACTATTATAATGGTTTTAATTGGTATTATATGGTATCGTTTGAATGGCATTATACTATTATAAAACTATTATAATGGCAACATTGGCGAAACTTTTTTTTGGGACACCATTTTTCTTTAATTTTTCTTATATATATATTGGTGGCACTCGATGAATAAAGACTAAATTTTGAGTTTCAGGTTTAGGAATTTATTAGTTTATAGGTTATACGTATATAAAGTTAATTAAAAAATACACATATATCAACCACTCATTAGTCAAATCGATTAACTCCATAAAACAAAAAGTAGAGGAAACTGATGCTGTACATTGATTTTGAAAGTTTCCCGTTAAATAGAAAATTAAATAATTATTATAGAACGTATTTTTCTTCATTATTACCGGTGTTGTTTTAATCTAAAGAATATGTAAAATGTATAAAATAGTATATCTTTGAAGTGATTGTTATTATTGTTGCAAGTTTTGCGTGGCCAATGAAGTAGGCAGCACTGGTTCAGATGATGTTGCACCAGTTTATTTTCAAAAGAGAAAATTGTTCAAAATGTTGACCTTGATAATATATTTCAAAAGCATCAAAATCGATGTTGTCTATACCATTGTACACGCATATTTGTTAATTAACTTTATATATGTATAACTTGTGAACTAATGAATCCCTAAACCCGAAACTTAAAATTTAATCTTTCTTCGTCAAGTACTGTCGATACATGCGAAAAATGTTTGAAAACAAAATGGTGCCTCGAAGTAAAGTTTAACCGAAAGATTTTTTACAGGAATCCCCGCTCTAACGATAATGATAGAAAATTAGACAGCCAAAAGCGAGCGAAATAGAGACGAACACGTCGGACAGTTCCTGAGACTTCGAAGAGACGCGAAACGTCGTGTCAGTGTGTCATGCGAAAACATTCGATGTTTCTGACTATATTTTGATAAAACGATCATGGAGGAATTAGTAAGATTTTCGTAGAGAAAACGAGACCAAACGCCATGATATTTGGATAACGTTAAGCCATAGTTGAATACAGTAATATATATATTTTTCTTCGTTCATAATTTCGTAAATACCGATTGAACAGTGGCTATAGATTATATCATTATAGTATCACGTGACCGGTGTGAAGAAAATAAGAAGAGTTTCATAGAATGGAACTCGACTGTTTTGGTTTTCAAAAATCTTACTATTTACTCGTTTCATTGAAATATAGTTTAGTACAATCATTTTTTATTGGGAATACAAAATATTTGAAGAGTTTGATATATTGTGTCGTGAGACATTGAAAGATTTGTGAGACAATTTTATTCTGAATCTGTTGGTTCGATATATTTCCCGTTAATATTTGTGATAATGTTATTCAATTTTTATTATAGAAGAATTGTATTACCATTTAAAGTGATTACTTTCTTCGAATCTCGAATACGATTATGTCTTTACTCAATGGCGAATACATTTGAGACATTCGAAGGCAGAAGGTTAGAGATTTTTTTAAAGAATACTGTATAATCACTTTCTACTGATTAATGAACATCTTTGTAGAATCATGTCCACCATTTGCCATATGTGTAATCTTAAATCATCCTCCTGATAATTTGTTCGAAACAAGAAGTACTCACCACAGGCAAGGTACAGGGGAGCAAGCTAACAGAAATAAACATTTAATTTGTTACTGTCTTCATTACGATATGGATTACGAAAGCTAAACGAATAATCACAATATACAGATACTGTGAATTGTTTCAAACAACTGCCAACAATAATTATTTTACAATATTTTCATTGAACACTGCTTGTACATACTTCTGTTCATCATTTGCATTAGATACGATGCTGTCGAATGAATAACATAAGTAGGTAGAATTTCATTTTTATTGTGTACCGTTTGTTACTTTGACATTCTCAAGTACTTTTGTATGTTATTTTGTAACAGCAGTTTTCGGTTTCTTAATTAAGATCCATTAATTATCGTCATCTCGATAACATTGAAAGGATCAAGTCATTCTTTTATAATTTAAAAATATTGCGAACAGAGAGATAATTTTTTGTAGCAATGGAAACATACAAAATGTACACAGAATATAAATTACAATAAACGTAAGTATACAAATCGACTTTATAATAACAGAATGCAATTGCTGTACGTTTATTTTCAATACATCTAAATGAATGTAGAAACACTGAGAATTTTAGGAAATGTATGCCTTTCATGTAAAAAATAAGATTAAATAATAATGTACTTATACGGTAAGTCTATAAAACTTCGGATTATTTGAATGGTTTACCATTTTTTTCAGTTTTTTGCTGTTATGTATTTTGTTGTTACAACAAACAATGGTATGTTTAATTAATAATATATTTATAGAGATTGTAATGTGCCATCCTCATCTCAAATGTACAGTTCTGCCTTGATATTAAATTGCCAGCGCTAATAACCAGCAAAACATCAAATTGAATAAAAACAATGTATTCAAGGATTGTGCAAAATGGAGTTACAGGTCGCCATTATATGTCCCATTTCGAAATAATACCTCGTGCCTCCATTCTATTTTGAAGCAGAGACATTAAAATTATTAGCAGCATTCTTAATTAATTTTACTATTCATAACCATTGTCATTTTGCCTCTTTACTACTATCTACTTAACGAAATTAATTTGTTTTCTATTCGTCTGAGAAAAATTATTGTTTTTTATATATTCTGGAAATAACTCCTTTATATGTGTTTCAAATTCCTATTGACGTAAAAATAATATTTGCTGTCTATCTCACTATTTCATAAAATTCTGCAATGAAAATTTCTTAATTTTACTTTTTATAATAATCTTTTTATATTATATTTTGAAATGTTAATACGACATAAAAAATTTACGTCTTGATAAGAAAGCATCCTTGAAAAAATCACTTGAACTATGAAGAACCTATGAACTTAAATCTAGAGAGTAAGTAAACAATATAGGTACAACATTTTATATTCACACGAATCACAAATCTATGTTTATTATTATTTTAAATTATCAGTCGTTTTTAATCTCCTCGAAAACATTTTACTTTATTAGATCATATTTAATATCAATTCTGAAAATTAAGAATGTTACTACATCACATACTGTCACAAGAAGATTTTCAAAAATATTCTCTCTGCTTCGAAACAGAAATGATTAGGATTCTGATAACTATTAACGAACTATGGTTATTTTCAAGAAAATGTAATTTATTCTGTAACGCATAAAAGCTTAGAACAACTTGTGAAACATGTAAAATAGCGAAGTAACTTAGTTCAGCGTCGACAGAATCATTGTTATACACGAAACCAAAAATTAATTATTAATGAAAAATAATCAGATGTAGTAAAAGCAAGGGAAAATAAATTTTCTTATAGAAAAATTCACAATTAACAATAAAAACGTAATCAAATTCCATCGATTAAATGGAGATATATGAATTAATACAACTGTGACGAATTGACATAGCTGAAAATTATTGTAACAATGAGATAGCAGATTGAACCTTACCTTGAATTTATTAAATTTAACACAATGTTGTCACGATAACAAAAATAATATTGTAGACCAAGGAATATAATATATTGGGAAAAATATGAAATTGTCTAAAGCGACATGTCCGAAGTATTAAATAGCACTCTGACATAACATATCAAAGATGTTAATGCAGCACTGTCATTCAACTTGTCGAAACTGCAATGTTCAATGCTTTCTCGAACTAATTCCTAGAGGCCACTCATAAATAAGTCAATGTTCAAAAATAACAATACCTAAAATATCGGAAAATCAAGCAATTTAAGATGAAATCGCTGATACTCGGAGTTAACTCAATTTCGTTCGATCAATTTCAGATGCATTTCAGGCATTCAATACGCGCTCAATGGTTGATAGCAGAATAGCGATTACCTCGAACCATTCAATGCAGTCTGGTGTTTTTATGCATGAGATGGTTGGATTACGTAAGTCGCGTATCTAGGGCAGCTTATTGTGATCTTTATACCGAAACTAAATTATTAAATTTTGATGCATCGTTTTCTTTTTAATAGCTGATCCCAAAGCATATGAAGTGGTCTTTAACGAAAAAATTAATGCTTAACTAATTAGTAAGTTTACCGGAAAGTTCTGTCGAATAATGTCATCTCAATTTTCCAAAGATGAGTCATTCTACAGAAATGGAATCCACAATTTACCACGCTGGAAAAAGGTCATTAGCAACAATTATATTGTAAATATTAACCCTTTGCAATCGTATGTAGAAACGAAGTTTATGACTTGTTTTTAAATTTTAGACATATTTAATACAATAATAGATCTTTGTTTTACAAAAATTATTTTAATGATAAATCTTTCAATATTTTAACTTTTATTTATAATTTATAATTTTATATTTCAATTATTTTTATTTTATACAACTAAAACGGTAATAGTGTTGTGTAAAGCATATTTCTTAGGCTCGCAAAGGGTTAATAAATGTAGTGAAGATGTATTATTTTCTTTTAATTAAAAAACGAGCAGGACTATCTAGTAGACCTAATTGTTTCGTTCCATGAAATTGTATAGTTTACAAAATGACTTAACATGTTCACGCCGGCGTGTACCACCGGTGGTACACAGCTAATTTATAACATTAAAGGAAACCAATGTTAATAAGTAAATTATTTATCAAATTGCTTATTAAAATTTACCCAAAATTAGCAACTGTAGTCAGAAAACTATAAACGTGACAAAAGAATGCACTTTAACATTATTTTTGCAACTATTGTTCTTATTATGATCTATGATTGAACACATAGAAACATATCCCAACGTGAATGTGTTAGACATACCGACGTTGCATTTGTTTGTCGCGGACGACGTGAACTATAATAATTAAAAGTTCAATATTCGTTAGAAGGTGTGTGTGTGCCACTATGTGTACAGGTTCTCCCACAAAAATCGGTGTGCAGGTATCGCTGTATCTGCCACGACCATACACTCGACGTTAATTCGTGTGTTGCGAAGCGTTTCAAAGTTGCCTCGTTGCAAGGGAGCAATATTGGAAAGTGCCGCAACAGCTAACAAAGAAATCGATAACCTGTATTCTCACAAAGTACAGAATCCATTAGGCCGCTTACAAGCGTGACAGGATGCAATAGCACGTATGCGAAGAAGATTATTAATAAGAAGGACATTGATTTCTCAGTGAGTGCAGTGTTTATTGGAGGCAAATCCGTACAAATGATTTCATGTCCGCCAAATGACAAACAGAATTATCGACAAAGATTTACGTACAAGTAAACAAATTCTACTCAGAAATGGACCAATTCATATATTGGAAATTCTAGTGGTGGTCAAAAGAAAATGTATGTTTCAATCGAATTTAAAGGAGTGCGCATGAAAATTAGACTTGCGAACCTCATATGTACAGGGTGGGACAATAATTTTTATTATTTTAATTAGATATTTTATTTGTGGAAGTATAGCAAACTTTAAAAGACGATATGAAAATGCGTTGAGGAATAAAACTATTGAAATCTCTGAATACTCTATATAGAAAACAATTACTGCTTGCACATTATAATATTTTCGATGTTATCCAATTTTTGCAAATAAAGTTTTATTTATTAAGACAGACTGTAATCAACAGGAAATATTTGTTTTCCAATATAATTACAGAATATTTTCAGCTATAATTTTAATTTTAATTTTAATCTGATCTTTAGTTATATTTTCAATTTGGAATGACCACCTGCAATTAGACACTCTGTATACAATAGAGCCCGCATAATGGTCGCATTTTTAACTGGGTTACTATATTTCCATTTGTTGAAATTAATTTTACAGAATCAGAAAATAAACTTACAGAAACTTAAGGTAAATCATTTAATGTTTCCTAAACTATTTCTTCACCAATTCAAAATTGAGATGCAGTTTAAGAAAATGGAAAAAGAAAGTAGTTAATAAAATTTTGAATTTGCGACCATTAAGCGTGCAACATTGTAAATGATGAAGAAGCTGATAGCAATATTAATTTCAATCATTCTTTTGACCAACACTGCTATATATACTAACTACATCTAATAATACTTTTCAAACGTATGTAAGACTACAACAATCCAATTTTAACAGATTAAAATAAATATACAAAAAATATGAACAAAAGCTGTAACGAGAACTGTTTAAAATACTTTACATGAAGTTTACGTTAATATATTATACTGTACTAGGTTCTGTATTAAAAAATCCGGCAAAATACTGCTATCAATCTGTTGTCTACCATTTAGTTGCTGGCTACTAACGCAACATTTATATGTATTTCCGCTTGATAATATCACGATCACAATGCAGTATAAAAATAAATTCTATGGAATAAGTTAATAAGTTACCTTTAAGTTACACCGTCACCTTAAGATTTGTAAAAATGATTTATAATTATATAGTTGTAAATAACAATCTGTGAATACGAGAATTAAAATGCTATTTTAAAAATAACCACATTCAAAGTGAATAGACATCAGCGAACAGTCATAGGAGAAAAAATTGAATGTTCATTAGAAACATTAAAATCGTAGAATATTTTTTTGTAAATCTTACATTATTTATTTTTGCATTATGTAAATTTCATTTGTGTATAGAAGAATTACGTAAAGGAAAATTGTGTATAATAAAATAACGATATTCCAAAATTCGTAGAATGTAATACGAAATAGGTTTCAAATTATTTTGATTTTGCGACTTCTACGAGTACCAAATAATAAATTCGTTACGTTACCAAGAAACAACTAAAGGATACTTATGAAATTCATCGATCAGATAATTATCCACACACTTTTATAATGTATAATCAAAAAGATGTTACGAATGCACGTCGTCTTTGACCGTCAAAAGATAATTATATAGATTTTTACTCGTGACTAAGAAAGAAAATATGCGATCGTTAGGGTCTATCCCTTTGCGCAATGTCAATTTCCTAGGAGGTTCTTACAATGTAGGACCCCTTTGTTTCTGTATCTTCCTCGCCGTATGTATCTATCTTCGTTTCTCTCTGAGGTCAATTTCATTGAATTGCTCGTCGATGAGGATGCCAAATCACTGTCGATTAAAAGAATTCTAATTTCCGTCTGCAGATGATCACAATGAACCCGTAGAATCATGCGTTCACCCCGATTCGTATTGAACTTTATGTTTATAAAATACAAATGAAAGATAACTGGGAACAGTTACATATGTTTTCATCTAAATGTTAATTCAAATTATCGTGGACACTGTAACATATAATATTGTTTGGTAAACTATTGTGCGAACTGCCTCGTAACTTACTGATAAAGGAGGATACTAGAAATGGCTATTTATTTAGAAACTGAAAATTTATGCAATATATTTCATAACACCTATTACAAAGCAAGAAACGATAGGAATATTTATCCAAAATATGATGACAAGGATGTAAAAATTCATTCAAATAAGAGATAACAATTTAATTGAAGAGGCAATTTTTTAACCTATTCTCGTAAGAAATATACATAACGCAGGATAATTATTTTACCTACATTTTGATTGATCTGATGTAAGCATAAATAAGCATTATAAAGAAAATTTAATCGTTATCCATGTTATTATTTATATATTCAAACTTATCATATTAAAGACGTTGGATCTGTTTCGTATTATAGCATACACACAGTTTCGTTCTCCGCATTGAATTTAATTATGAACATTTGTGGGTATTTCATTGCAACAATATACTAGCAATAATACAAATGTGTCAGACAGGCCTAGTTTCCAGGTGAAAAATGTAAGAACGATAAATGTATAACACGGTTCATTGTAAAATGAAAGTTATTTATCCTTGATCAATGAGCATAGAGAACGACAAACATATTACCTCAGAGAGAAAGTACGTGTTCAATGATAAGGGAGAAAATGAATATGTAACGTGTCTTTCGCATTATACACGATCGTTTCACTGCAAACACATAGATCATTTCTATTTACATAGTAGCGTACAATTGGCAGAAGGAAACTCATGGATGAAGTATACTCACGTAACCTGAAGGTAACTTCTCGTATTTTTAATATATGTAATCACTTCGCATTGTACGAAGCTCATCAAAGTTTGAAATACGACAGATCGATCATAGATCATAACCGATGCGTTTACAATCGTGTACAATGTGAACAGACACTTCTTAACCAGAAGTAAGATTGATCGACAAGTTAGGTAAAAATACAGCGCCTTCGCAGTTCGACAAAGTACGTTAGAAAAAACTTTCACGCACATGGAACAACTACATTCATTTTCCATACGTTTCCCTTTGTTAAAACATTTTTTACTCGTTGAAATAATAAAACTGTAACAAGAAAGGACGCTAAAGATAAAGAAGCTACGTATTCGAAGCGTGCGACGTTCTCGAAACAATATTTTTAACACTAAAACTACCAAGTAGTCAAATTGACTTTTTAAAATTTTTTCTATAGAAACTCTAAGAGTACATCTATTGAGATTTCTATTAATTTACAGTTCTGTTTGCGTATTCCTGAACCAATTGCTTTGGTAATTTCTTAGAGAAACGTGTTATTTTTCCAATAATTACGAATAGAAGAAATTAAGATCATTTTGACCTGTCTGGTAGTTCTATTGTTAATGTAGATCATTCTTTGTGGAAATCTGTAATCCAAAGACAATATTTCAAATGGTTTTAACAGTATGCCAAATGTAACATTTCGAAATGAAGAAAAAATACGAAGGTATTTCAAATGGAGATGCAAATGCATTACGAGACACGAAATTCTATTCTATTACCCTGGCCATTCTTCTATTATTCTTCACGCGCTACCAGTTTCATAAATTTACGTGAATCGTCTGCGAACAACTTGCATAGCGTAGAAATCTTTAAGAGAATTTTCACTGTTCTTTTGAAGTGTAATACAGAGGACGACACATTAAGGCGTCACGTTCAAGAAATTTCAATTTAATAACGAATCACGATGGCGCTGTAATAAATGTTGCATGAAATGAGTATTAAAAAAGAACAAAAAAAAACCTGTATGAAATCGTTGTTATACAGAATGATCGCGGATTTTTATAAAGTTTCTAGAAAGTCCGCTGAAACGTGAAATTGTGCACACAGCACATTGGATGTGTATGGTAAGGAACTATTTGCTCGACACACAATAGTTGAAATTTCCTTGGAAACATTTCTCTTCCGAAATAAACTCCTCTCTCTCTCTCTCTCTTTCTCTCTCCTTCTCACTCTGTCTCTCTCTGTCTCTCTCTCTTTCTCTCTCCTTTTCACTCTCTCACTCTCTG